TTTAAAAATCTGCTGCCCTAATTCCCAGCCAGCACCACACAGGGCCCCTCCCTTGTCATTTTCCATTCCAGGGTGATGATGCCGAGAAAGTGCCATCTAAAACTGGTGTGCCTGACCAGATGCTAGTCTAGGCTTTGTTCTTCAGCGAGTGCCACACACTGACTGCTATGAGGGCATCAGTTTCCATCCAAAGGGCAGGTGCTGGGTTCTGCACACTGGCAAGGCGAGGCTCTCCGTGTCTGCACTCTGGTCGATGCACAGCCCACTGCTTCCCAGGGTTGTATGTCCAGCACTTAGTGGTGCTTGGTGGGTGACACAAAACACTCTCCTTTAGAGATCAAGACCAAGAGAGCAAGCCAACAGAGCTAGTAGGACCAAGTCCTGCTGAGCTGTGGTGGCCCTGTAGGTGAGAGCCTGTCCCATTCCCAGAATGCAGCTCATTTGTTCAGAAAGCATGCACCCGTCTCTTACCAACTGTGCATTATTAGGTGTATGGCTGGCCCTCCCAGCCTGTATCATCATCACTGTAACAAGGATCATAACAGCACTTTGTGTCGATTGAAGTACGTGATCCCTGCAAAGCCCCCAGCCCCGCATGCATCTGACCAGCAGTAAGCACTCAGTAGGAGCTGGCCTGTGTTGACTGCTTGTGTGACATCCAGGGCTGACCTTAGGTGGCGACCAGCCCTCACCTCTCACTGCACCCTTTTGGGGACCTGGCATTCCCAGTCCTTCTGGAGAAATGTGCAGTTCCCCAGACAGGCAGCCCCTCCTGTTTATTTATTTATTTACTTTTAAAACTCAGCTCAAACAGCCTTACTTTGGCTATAAATAACTACCTGCTGCAGCGAGTACAAAGCCAGGCACCAGCCAGATCTGAAAATAAACTCCTTGCTGTGATGAAGTGGTGTTTCTGTTGAATGGGCAGCCCTGCCTTTCTCCTGCCCACTCCCCACCCCCGCCCCTGGAGCCAACACCACGGGAAAGGGCTGGAACTAATTCTTTGGGGGCATCCGTAGAGACCAGGCCTTGTGGACAATAGTATGATAATGAGCTGAGGAGAGGGCTCCAGTGGCCTTTCTTGTGAGGAAAGAGCACTCACTGAGCTTCCCCACCCCCTGGAAGGTACACTCAGGGGTTGGCCCTGGTCCCAGTGTGAGTGCATAGCTTGAATACAGGAGCTGCTGGCTGGGTCTGGAGAGGGAGGGAGGGGAAGGGCGGGGCAGCCAAGACCCTTTGTCCAAGAGCTGTGTTATCCGGAACCTCCTTCCTTTCTCCAGGGGAGGCTGCCTCTCTCCTTAGCTCACACCCCTGTTGATCTCTGACCCTAGTCTTGCGCTGTGCACGTGAGCCTGAGCAGTGAGTGACACTTGTCAGTTACCCTGCCACATTAAAGAATTACAACGCTCCCATGTCCCAGGCAAAGGAGCCAGTGGGGCAATGGTTACATTTTTTTAAAAGCAAATTGCAAGGTCAGCAGTTCAAAACCACCAACCCACTCACTCTTTGGGAGAACGGTGAGACTTGGACTTCCGGAAAGAGTTGCAGTCTTGTAAAGACTGAGAGCCTCAGAAACCTACGGCAGTTCTACCCTAACCTCTGGGGTTGCTATGAGTCGGAATTCACTCGATGTCCCAGGCAGCATTCTAGGCAAATAGTAATGGACTTCAATCCTAAGAATTTCTCCATTCAGCAAATATGGAGCAGGCCTCTGTTAAGAGCCAAGTCCTGCCTGGGCCCTGAGTGCTACTGGTCCAGAGTAGTCCCTAGACTGTATGTTGGTGGGCAAATGAGACCAGCTGATGTAGGTAGGTAGTCTCAGGAAGGACTCACCCTGAGTTAGTTCACGGAGTCCATTGGAGAAGTCCTATCACTTCCAGCTGTTTCAAGATAAACTGGAAGCTCAAGAGCTCGCCCAAGGGCACACAGGGAAGGGGGAAGATCTGAGCCCAAGTCAGTCTAGGAACATGCCATCTTAACAGCCATACTGTACCACCACCCAGAAAAGACACCCATGGGGTCCAAGTCCCCTCTCCTCAAGTTGTGAAGTCAAAATCTATTTAAAAAGCCATCTGGCCGGTAGGGAGATAGCTCTCAAATGGAATATTTGTGATTATGGTAGGTGTGTGTTTGTGTGTATACGTACATACATACATACCTACACACGTCAGGTGCTAAAGAATTATTACAGGGCATGCTAAGTGCTGTGTAAGTTCACAGTGGTGGGAGGAGGGGCTAGGCTCAGCGGAGGGGGGGTAAGGAAGATAGTGTCCCACAAAAAGCACTGCCACGGAGTCTATTCTGATTCGTCATAACCCTACAGGGCAGAGTAGAACCACTCCCTACGGTTTTCCAGGCTATAAACCTTTACAGCAGCGGTTCTCAACCTGTGCGACCCTTCCACAGGGGTCGCCCGATTCATGACAATTATGAAGTAACAACGAAAATAACTTTATGGTTGGGGGTCACCACCACATGAGGAATTGTATGAAAGGGTCTCGGCGCTAGGAAAGTTGAGAGGCACTGCTTTACAGCAACAGACAGCCTCATCTTTGGCCCTCGGAGCAGCTGGTAAGTTGAGCAGGCCTCCTCGGGGTTAGTAGCCAGAGCATGACCTACTACACCCCAGGGCTCCTGCAGACCATGTCTGGACTCCAGAGAGAGCTGGCATTTCATATGAATCTGGGCCAGGCGGGCATGAATAGAGGGCAAGAATGAGGTGGCTTCCTGGGCAAGGAGAACGTATCAGTTAGCAAATGTCATGGCCAAGCCTGGCCTGGGAGTAGGGAATGAGGTCTGAGACCCTGAGCCATTAACAGAAGCAGGATGATGGGAGTTCTCGGCATTCCCTCTAAGGCCCACACGACGTCCAGCCCCCCTCCCGCCAGTGCACTCCACTCACTGCCTTCTCAGTGAGCCTCCAGCCAATGAAAGCCGTGCTACAGGTGAGCATTCTGCAGAGGTGAAGCGGAGAACCCCAAAGTTAAACAAAATGTGGAGCCTGCCTCTCGAGGGCCCACAAGGCCATCAGATGTGAGCGCCGCAGGCCTCTGGGTGATGCAGTGCTGAGCCAGAGATGTCTCGCTGAGCTTTTCTGGAAAACAGGAATGTCGGTGGTTGGAGCTTAATTTCTAGCAGGTGTCAAGGCATCTGGTGCTGGTAGGTCAGCAGTACGTGTCCCAAATTATGGTACATCCACCAATTCATTTGACTGTCTACTGGGCTTAGCCATGAGGACCTTGTAAGGTGGTGGGGGGCGTGAAATGTATAAGAGCAAGTATAAGACCGAGTAGTTACCTGGGGTATAAACGTCATGGACCAGACAGAGCAACAGCCACTGGGACCCCCAAGAAGGAGCGAGCCTCGGCATCACCAAGAAGGGGCGGGCTGAGAGCTTTGGCTCTGCTCAGCACTGTCAAGAAGGGGCTGCCATTGCCGGCCCAGCTGGATGGCGGCCTAGCGCTGTGGCAGGGCTCTCATCAGGTTAAAAGATATCTTCCTCCCTTCTTGTTTCCATGGAATCTGCACATCCTGCACAACAGCAAGTGCTGGGACAGTTGGGTGTGCACTTGTGCACAATTTGTTGGGTTGGTCTGGAGTCAAGTTCCAGTGTCCACCATGGGCAAGTGAGCCCAGCGAGGGCTTCAGACAGGGCCCATGCAGGGCTCTGATCCTATTTCCTAGCAATGGTTTACAATGGACTGGCAGGCCTTTCACAGAACATGATGTACTATCAGATCCCATCATGGCGGCCAGGGGGACTAGAGCCCCTTGTCTGTCACCCCTCCAGGGTAGAGCAAGCCTAGGCCCAATCAACTCTCCAAAATATAAGAAGCCATGACGGCTTTGTTGTCATTTCCCTGACCTCGATTTTGCCTCTTTGGTGAGAATTTGGAGGAGTCGAGTCTTATGGTTCCCAGCTAGCATCAGAAATGTTTGAAAACTCATTAGTTAAAATAAGAAAAATTGAGATGGGAAGGGGCCTAAACTCATAAAAATCATTGGCGCTTGGGTAGCACAGGTCTGCCAACCAGTTTTTTAGAAGCCTGTGTGCTTCCCTCCCACAAGGTTCTGCAGTAGCTTACAATATTTGATAAAGATTGCAGTGTTTGACGTTAAAGGGAGAAAACCAAAGAACTTGATCTAAAAGATTCAAAATGAGTAAATATAAACAGGTCACTGGCTAACACCAAAACCAAACGCACTGCCATCAAATTGATGCCGGCTCATAGTGACCCTATAGTACAGAGTAGAACTGCCCCTGTGGGTTCTCGTTATGAGAGTAGAAAGCCCCATCTTTCTCCCAAGGAGAAGCTGATGGTTTCAAACAACGGATCTTCCAATTAGCAGCCAAACAGGTAACCACTATGGCACCAGGGCTCCTGTCAGGTAGCTATTCACTTTCAACTTAATCATAAGATTCCTAAAAGAGCAAGAAGACCAGGGCTGGATCAAGTTCTTTTTCTGACAAAGCAGAGTATATGTTCCGTATACAATACATACAGAAGGTGCCCTGGTGGTGCTGTCATATAAGCATTATACTGCGAACTTCAAAGTTGGTGGTTCAAACCCACCAGCCACTGCACAAGAAAAGGGTGAGGCTATCTGCTCCCTCCCACAAAGATTCACAGCCTCAGAAACTCTGACTGTGAGTCCGAATCAACTCGATGGCAATGGGTTGGATGGGTTTCGTGCAATAAATGTGGGGGGGGGTGGATTAGGGAGCCACTCTCCACACTCTACCTTTGAGGTACCAGGGCCAGCACTGGCTAGGACTAGGTCCTTCTCCAGAGGGAAGAAGCAGCCAGGTAGGGTGGGAGGGGGCTTCAGGGCTCACTGGGCCACAAGGAGGGGGAGTTGTTTGGCATGATCCCTTGGTAGGGTCACTGTAAACAATGTCACTGCTCCACCACAGCTAATCTAATCACTTCTTCTTTTGTCTGTCTGTTTTCTTCCCATCTCGTGTGTGTGCGTGCGTGCGTGCCACCTTGAATCTGTAGTATAAATCTGTGTTTAGGTCCTTCTCCCAGGATTTCGTGCCTCACAACCAAGCTTCCGTTCCACCTTTCCTTCCGTCTACCTCCTCTTCCTCTCCACATTTCCCGCCTGTCCACCAGTCTCAGAGCTCTGACTTAGTGGTGCCAGCTGTAGCCAGCCCGCCTTCCAACACCGTGGACGGGCCCCTTTCATCCTGTCAGGAGAACAGCTTTCACGGGAACACTGTCTGCCTTCCTCCTGAAACCTCTTTCACTGACTCGCCCCAGACGCCTTCGGTGAGAACTCAAAAACCAACAACGCACCTTCACATGGTTTAAACAGCAGCGTCACTGTTCTTGGAAGACACCTGTCCTCTGTCCCCCTCGTGGCAGTCATGAGCTCATTTCAGCCTGCAGGGAAGGCCCAAAGGAAAAGTAGCCGTTGAACCTTCCCTACCGAGCTCCCAGCAAACTTGGAGTCTGATACATTAGGGGCAGATGAACTGGTAACCATTTGGAGACAGTTATGGTGAGATAGAAAACACAAAATTCTCCTGTTTGTATAAAAAAAGGCCTTTGAAAGTGGCAGAGAGTTTCCCAAGGAAATTGCATAGTGAGTTGCATGTGGTACCAATGATCCAAGGCCTGCTTCCCAGCCTGTTAACTTGCCAGTAGGATTTCATCCCTGCAGAGGAACACCTCACTTGCAGGTGGAGGTGGACGCTTAGGTGGGCAGAGACACATAGCAGACAGGGTCTGGCTTTGCAGGGTGCAGAGCGACTTTGCTGTGCTACCACTTGCTTTCTCAGACCTTTGTCACCATCTCCCATGGCACCGCAGGATAGACACACTGTGCCTTACTGTGCTGTCCCTGGAGGCTTGGATGGGCCTCAAGGTCTTTGGAGAAGAGCCAGCAGGAAACTCGAGCCCCTCTAGAGTAGAGGCAACTCTGCTCTCTGGAGCTGTAAGCCCCTATATAGGAGTGTCTGGGTTGGGGCCAGCCCTCTGGCTGCCCTCTCAGAGCCTTGAGGACCGAGGAGCGGACCTGTCACATGAGCGTTTCCTCTCACCCCGTCTCCCCTAGAGTGAAAGCGCCAGTGAGGACACTGGTGAGGGTGAATATGTCAATCTGTACTCCTCTGGCCAGCGCAGCAAGGAGCACCCTCACTCTCGAGGAGTAAGTAGCCCTCGGCAGGAGGGCACGGCCTCATCATCCAGCGCTGCCCGCCTCCCTTGTGCATGTGGCCTGGTTGCCATTGGGCCCCTGGTCTCTTGTACCTGCTTTCTGTTTGGCTGAGCAGCCCAGCCACGAGCAGCCCAGCTCCCGCGCCCTGTAGGAAGCCAGCTCCCCTCCGCAGGGAAAGAACTTGCTTCCTGGTGGTCTTCCCTTTGCTTCTGCTTCAGTGTGTGTAGTTGGCAGGATGGGCCTTCTGGAAACCTACAAGGAGCAGCCATGGCCATGTCCCCAGCTCTCCCTCTAGGATTTCTCTCCTTCCCAGTGTCCAGTGCTGGGCTCCATCGTGCACCCCTCGCCCAGAGTGAGGAGCTTCAAACCTTCCCACACCTCATTTCCTGTTCCTCCTCAGCCCCCTCCATCACTCGTATAGAATTGCTTCCAAACTTAGCCCCTGCCGTGTTTATGCATCCATCCCTCATGAGAGTGAAGAAGTAAATATTTGACATCCTCCTCCTCGTTGTATTGTTGTGCTACCTCCGACCTTCCACAGTTCTGTTGAACTGTTCACGCTGCAGGCCTTACTGCCGTGAAGCATGAGCAGGTTCCAAAGCTGCAAAAAACACCCTCCACCACCAGCTTGAATGGAACACGTTGCTTGAAGGGGAGCTGCCACGGGACCTCAAGCCTCCGCAAGGGCCCAGTCTTTGAGACCAGAACCACATCCATTAAGACTGCCATAGCAGGGTCCGCATAAGCCCCTTGATGTCTACATCACAGACTCGACACCAGACCGTGGCAATTGTGACACACTGAGGAATTTTCCCTCCAGTGGGGTGTCCCCCAACTGGTGGGGAGCTGAGCCAGCTTTCCCATCACCTGTAGGGACCTGCGCCCCAGCATCACCCAGTTCAGCCCCAGTGCCATAGAGTCCCCAACCAGGCACACTTCCCATGCTTCCCCTCTACAGGAGACTAATTACAGCACTGCCTTTGTCTTTGCCGCAAGTGCTCGCCATTGACAGTGTCCCATGTATTCCTGCTGCCCCCGTTCTCCTTTTCTGCCGTGGGGGCACACCAGAGGTGTGGGGGCCGTGGGGTCACTGAGCAGCATCAGCCCAGAGTCCTGAGAGCAAGTGAGACCGAGCAGAGGGAGTCTGTACGCATGCACTGGAACTTGTGAGACTTTTAACTGGTAGCTGGCTCAAGGGGGGTCTTGAATTGCTATGGCTCACTCAGCATGACAGTACTGAAAACTGAACTTGAACTCAAACGTCAGCAAAGTTTTACTGCATGACAGCAGCACAGGTTAAGGCAGAGTCTTTGGAACTAACTCAAGGTTCAAGTCCAGGCTCTGCCACTTACCAGCGATGTGGTCCTGGGCAGGACCTACTCTCAACCTCTGTGCCCTTGTGTGTGAGTGGGAGTGAGGGCAAGGCCTTTGTAAGAGTCAGATGCGGGTGTACCTGCCTGAGCTTCAGTCAGGTAGCAGTTCTTGTGACAGCCCTCCCTACCCCAGGAGGTGGTCAAGCAGGCTTCCTCCAGGTTGTAGCTGACATCGAGATCAGTAGTGGCCCCTTTCTCTCTCTGCAAAGACAAGATGCTCGTGTTAAGAGGTCCTTGTGTCTGCTGTGCATTTATCCACATTCATCACGTGCACTTGTTCACATCTCCAGTTGAGCCCTAGAAAGTGGCACTCAGGAGTCATTTGCAAGCAGGAATGCTAGGAAGGCAGGGCCAGCCCAGCATGGGCGCCTGTCAGAATCCACACACTCTTGTTTCAGGAATCGCCAACTGTGAGAGACGGGCACCCCAAAGAGTCGTCCTCAGTGGGCAGCACATCTGGGAAGGAACAGCGAGCCAGCGGTGAAAGGTAGGTGGGAACCCTCCGTACCATGGCCTCTCAGAGCAGCAGGCCCTCCAGTGAGGACTACCTGTGCCGCCTCGGCCCCCAGGGGGCCGGCCTGGTCCGGATTCTCAAAATAATACACACCCAAGGCAGAAAACATGGACAGGACAAATCACTGACCACCCCCCCAGGCCTTCATCCTTCATGGTTGTATGTAGTCTGCCATTACTCCCGAGGACCTCCCAGTACACGTGCACATGCCAAGCCAGCCTTCCTCAGACTCTGCAAAGGTGAAGTGCAATGAGGGAGTGTAAAAGTCCCCTGCCCCACTGATTTCTTGGGCAGGTTCTTAGATATGTGTGTAGTCTCTAAGGAGCTCTAGTGGCGTCGTGAGTTATGAGTTGGGCGCGGACCACGAGATCAGCAGTTGGAAACCCCCGGCTGCTCTTGTAAAGATGTGCAGCCTCGGAAACCCACAGGGGCACTTCTCCTCTGTCCTGGAGGGTCACTCTGAGTGAGAGTCAACTCGATGGCAGTGAGTAGCGGGTGTTGACGCATCCTAGTTCTAAACCACCTGCAAGTCAGTTACAGGGATTGTGACACTTTGACCCGAAATAGTTCAGCTTGCCTCTTTTCTAAAAGTATATTTAATCCTTCCTAGTTACAAAGTCACAATCCGATGACCAAACCTAAAACATGATCGCGTGACAGCCCTCTCCACCCAGAAGGTGGTCGAGCAGGCTTCCTCCAAGTTGTAGCTGAAGCACGATCAGTAGTGGCCCCTTTCTCTCTTGCTTGGCTCTCGAAGAAAATAAATGTCTCCAGCTCCTCTCAGATGGACTCCATGTTCCAGTTCTCCCAAAGCACCTGGCATGGCTAGCTTAGTCTTTTGCCTAAAGAGCAACCGAGAACAATGTGCTTTAAAAAATTAAATAAATAAATAAAAGAACAGTGTGTTGCTTTTAGTTGTTATGTCTGTTCCTTATGATGTTTTCTCAACATTTGCAGAAGCCACACCTTACTGGGTTTAGGGTTCTTTGCTGCCATCGAGTCGATTCTGACTCATAGCAACCCTACAGGACAGAGTCGAACTGTCCCAGTGGGTTTCATAGATTGTAATTTTTTATGGAGTACAGCACATCTTTCTCCCTGGGAAGGGCTGGTGGAGTTGAACTGTTGACCTTACAGTTAGCAGGCTAACACATAACCCACTACGCCACCAGGGCTCCCCAGGTTTAAATATAAGTAGTCGTTTTTCACAATATGCCATTACTGAATAGAATATGCAGCATCACCAAGTCTGCCCCCTAACTACCTGCAGTAGCTTTAGCTACCTCTGTAACCCTGGCTGCACTCCGCAGAGCCAGGCAGTGTCTGTGAGAGCTGAGTCAGGTCTAAGCACCATCAGTAGAAAAGGGGGCAAAAGTAGCAGGGGAAAGGCAAAGAAAAGGGGGATCATTTTCATGAGACCCTCTTGAGGCCCTCTCTGGAGCCTTCCACATGAATCTGCCCTGCCCGAGGTTTTCCCAAGTCTAAAGCGAAGACTGGTAGGTATCCTGTGCTTCACACACAGTGGCCAAGGTCTGCGTGAGCCAAGCAAAAGCAGCGAGTTCGCTCCCATCTTCTTTGGGCTCAAAAGTGGAATTTTCAGAGTTGCAGCTGGTCCTCATGAAGAAGCAGAAGGGTAGATACATCGGCTTGTTAGAAACAACTGCTGAGGGTGCACCCTCTCCCCGCGAGGCTGAGCCCCAGGCCCCCATGGACAAGATGTGTGGCAGGATGGATCATCCCAGGGCGAAGATAGTTCTGCCCAGGCCTGTCAGTGTTCTTTGTGTCGGATGACCAGGGTTGTATATGTGGCCTGCTTCTACAGAGCTAATCAGTGCCATAGGATCCTAAGAATGCATAGGATGATAGGCAGCCAGAGAGAAAAGGTCTCTGAATCAGCATCAGCTCGGGGGCAGTGAGCGTGGGAGGTGGTTTTTGGGACAGGAGACCAGAAGGAACCTTGGTGGTACTGTGCTTTAGGCATTTGGTTATCCACCCCCCACTCCTAGGGAGAAAGATGAGGCTGGCTAGTGCCACAAAGATTTACAGTCGCTGAGACCCCTTACAGCAGTGGTTCTCAACCTGTGGGTCACGACCTCTTTGGGGTCGATCGACCCTTTTACAGGGGTCGCCCGATTCATAACAGTTGCAAAATTACAGTTATGAAGTGGCAACGAAAATAATTGTATGGTTGGGGGTCACTACAGCCTGAGGAAGGTTGAGAACCGCTGCCTTACAGGCTTGCTATGTTTCCACATCAGCTTGATGGCAGTGGGTTTGTTTGAAGTTGCTTTTAGTTGGGTTTGGAGGGGAGGGGGGGTTAGTTTTTTAGGAGAAAAAGCAAGGTACCAATTCAAACTTCCACTCTATGCCCTAGAATGCCCCAGGCTAGGCAGCCTCCCCACATGCTTCCGTTTTCCACAGTGTTTGACACCCCGTGGTACAGTGGGCCTTGGCAAAGAATGGTTTGACAGCATCACTTTGCTAAGTAACTTGCTCAATGGAAGCTTCTTGGCCTCCTGCTTTAATCCCTTCACTTACAGATGGCACATGCAGAGTAGAAAATGCCCCCAGTCACAGAGCTGGCTGGCAGCTGAGTTAGAAACCCGCTCTCCCTCTGGCTCTGTCCTGCTGTGATGGGTTGGGAGGCATGTCTGTGCTTCAGATTTTAGCTGCAAGTCAGGGAGCCAGAGAAGCTCTGCTCAGATCTCAGACATATTGTCTCCATGTAGGAGCCCAGCAGGGTCCCACTCTGACACTTGCAACCCAAACCACTTTTCCTTCCAGGACACCCACGTCACCAGATGCCCTGGAGGTCACTCAGTCAGAGGAGGAAGTGGACGAGCTGTCCCTGATTGACCACAATGAAATTATGGCAAGGTTGACACTCAAGCAAGAGGTAAGGACTCAACAGGTTCTGATTTTATGGCCCCTGGCCCCATGGAGTGGGGGCGTGGAGAGTGTGGAGGAAAACGGGACCTGGAAGTGGGCCACACAGAACAAACCCAGTGCTCCCAGGAGGCGCACCCGAGCGGTGGCTCCTCGTTACTGACCCAATGCCAGGAGCATCGGGGCTATAAAGAGATGATTGGGCCATTGGAGGAATCCAAGGACATGTGCTGCCTCTTCTCCTCAGGCTACTAAGAGTGGCACTGGGCAAGTTACGTGACTCGTCCAAAGCCTCACGTGGTGGGAGTCTTGGGGTCATTATGAGAACATATCCATGTAAAGTGTTCAGTACACAGCCTGCCTGTGGCACACCCTCACGGAACACAGTGCATTGTTATATTACTAAAGTAATGCCCTACAAGTTCAGCATGGGAGACACAATGCATTTAAGACAATTCAGGCGTGGATGCAGCGTTTTGCCCCTTCTGGGCCTTGAACCAAGAGCTGCACTGGGAAAAGCCATCCCCAAACCCGCCACCATCAGAGAGGGCTGCCTGACAGCCTATGGTCTTCCTTCTGCCACGAGACTGCAGACAGAGGGACGCTTCACGAAACAGCCGGGGCCACCCCTGGGGAAGTGGCTGTGCTGCTGGACCCCACTTCCATCACACACACGCACATGGGCAGGTGGGTTGAGCCAGCCCCACTATGCAGAGAACACTCAGGGAGGAGCTGACCCTCACCGAATGGGCAGGGGCTGTTGGGCACTGACCTCCTCTCCTTAGAAGTGATGTTCCAGCCCCTGCTGGAAATCCAAGATGCTTTTAGAAACACAGACACTCACGTGGGTCACTACTACTACCCTGGCCAGCCAGGAAGGGGCAGCCTCGCCCTTGGGAACTTGCGGGGGTGTACTCTTGACAGAAATTGGACTGCTTGGGCCTCATAGTCATGAACCATACCCCATCCAAGGTGGTCAGAGGGCCCTGAACCAGTCTGGTGGTTCTAATCTGCAGTAGTGTACGTCTCCCTCTCACGCCAACTGTTGCCTTGGTGTTCCATGTCCGGTTTAAGTGACCCTGTGGCTGTGAATGCTGGGGCACCATCAGGGCCTGATCTGATGGTCTCCCTGGCCCAGATGCTTTGTCTCGGTCCTGTGTAAACCAAACACCCCGTGCCAGGGGCAAGTGTGTCTCCCAGAGCACACGCTGCACACACAAGGGGGCTGGCAGGAGTTGGATACCATTGCTTCGAATGACAGCGCAAAAGCCAGGCTGGGTGGTCGGTGCTTCTCTGTGTGCCCGGCTGCCAACTCCCTTAACTCCAGGCCGGTTGACAAGTTCATACCTCTGTCTGCCTCCACTGAAAGGAGGACTTCCCCCTCTCTTGGCAGGCAGTGGTCAGTGATCACACGAGGAGTGTCGGCTGTAGTTGTAATCCTCTCTTGAAGAACCCCGTGGAAGAGTCCATGATAGTTACAAGTGACTGCTCCCCACCCTGGGAAGCAGGGATTTAGATGGAGGGCAACATGCTGCAATTGTAGGATCATGAATATAATATGGAATGGTCTTGCTTTTTCCACAGTCATCCTGGGGGCAGGGGCTAGGGGGGGCGGGGCGGGGAGGACCCACAGGTCCCACCATCCCCATATGAGGGAACGTCTCCTCTCTGCCCCCTGGACTGGTGAGCCGGGAAAGGTCGAATGGCACCACTTCCCCTGAGCCTCTCAGCCCTCAGAGGCATGATGTGTGCTTGGTGCCCACATTGTCTGGGCAGCTCAGGCTTGTCCATTGCCCAGTCATCCTGGGAAGGGAATCGGGGGGCCTTGTCAGCACACTTGTTGATCGAGCTGGCCCTGTGCTGTGTTCTGCCTCACAGCCACCTCTCCTGTGTTTTTTACAGGGCGATGATGGACCGGATGTCCGTGGAGGGTCTGGGGACATCTTGCTGGTCCATGCGACTGAGACGGACAGGAAAGGTACAGCAGCCCTCATCAGAGTGGCCTTTGGTCTGTGGTCATAGAGGCCCACCCACTGCTGTCTCCTGGCATCCAGCTCCCTCTCAGTTCTCTGCTGTCTCCTGGTCCTGCTGGGCCATGGAAGGGGGAGCATCAGGAGACCAGCTAACCTTGGTCGTGAGGTGTGTGCACCCCACAGGCTTGTCCAGAGGGAGTGTCGGCTACAAAGCTTGGCTCCCTGTGAGTGCTCCAGAAACGAGGGCTGGATGGCACATGGGAGGAGACGGCTGCAGTGAAAATGCTACCTGGGTAGCCTCTCCCGCCCTTCCTAGGGCAGCACCCATCCTACTCTCCCTGCCCTCCCAGACAGGGTGTCATTCGAGTGTCTGAATACAGGGAATCCTGACAGGACCCTTGCTCTGTCAGGAAACTCCGGTTTAGTAGCCGTGGCCTCAGTTATCACAGAATGAAGTGCTCGTCCTAACAGAACTGCTCCACTCGGCGCCCCGAGAGGGAAACTCAGTGTCTCTTCCATCCTGGAGGGTAGACTCTCTGCTGGCCCACCAGCTGTCATTCCAAGGCTTGACCTTGCAGGAGAGGAGGGGCTGTGCAGGGAAGAGGCCAGGATCCGGAGCAGGTGGCCGCGGGAGTTCGGAAGCTGCTCTCAGCCTGGTCAGCAGCTGAGGCTGACTCTCCGCAGACTCTGTCAGGGCAGCGCCTGGCTCCTCATCTCTCTCTTTAAAAAAAAAAAATTTTATTTTAATGTTTGAATGGGGATCCAGACAAACTCCACAGGAGACAGACACTCCCTTCCATCTTCCCGCTCGCTGCCACTGCTTTCCAGGATGGTGCTGGGCTTTTGTATGTCTTTTAGTCTGACCGTTACTTCTTTTTTTTTTTTTTCCCTGATCATTTCTTCTGAAGGATGGCTTTTCGCACATTTTACTGAGTTTTGCTGGTTCTCATTTCATATGCTCTTGTTGTCCAGCCAGCTCACTGCTGAGAATTGTTTTTGATTTGAGCTTTCTTTTCTTTTTTTTAAGTCATTTTATTGAGGGCTCATACAACTCTTATCACAATCCATACATACATCAATTGTGTAAAGCACATTTGTACATTCGTTACCCTCATCATTCTCAAAACATTTGTACTCCACGTAAGTCCTTGGCATCAGCTCCTCATTTTTTCCCCTTCCCTCCCTGCTCCCCTCTCCCTCATGAACCCTTGATAATTTATAAATTATTATTTTGTCATGTCTTACACTGTCAGACGTCTCCCTTCACCCACTTTTCTGTTGTCCATCCCCCAAGGAGGAGCTTATATGTAGATCCTTGTAATTGGTTCCCCCTCTCTACCCCACCACTGGGCCTGAAGGGATCATCCGCCCTGGATTCCCTGTGTTTCCAGTTCCTATCTGTACCAGTGTACATCCTCTGGTCTGGCCAGATTTGTAAGGTAGAATTGGGATCATGATAGTGAGGGGGGTGGGGAAGAAGCATTTAGGAACTAGAGGAAAGTTGTATGTTTCATCATTGCTACACTGCACCCTGACTGGCTCATCTCCTCCCCGCAACCCTTCCTTAAGGGGATGTCCATTTGCCTACAGATGGGCTTTGGGTCCCCACTCCGCACTCTCCCTCATTGACAATGATATGATTTTTTGTTCTTTGATGCCTGATACCTGATCCCATAGACACCTAGTGATCACACAGGTTGGTGTGCTTCTTCCATGTGGGATTTGTTGCTTCTCAGATCTCTTTCTTTTCTTTAACATAATACAAAGATGACACAACAGTGTTAAAGTCAATTTGGAAGAGAGTCAAAAACCATAGCTAATATATATCGTTTTTGAAATTGGCCTCACTTATATTTTTACAGCAGATTTTCCACTGCGTGCTCACACAGAATAATTCTAGGCATTCTTGATTTATGACCACACCAAAAGCCAACCCCACTGTCATTGAGTTGATTCCTCTCATAGTAGAACTCTCCTTCTGAGAGCAGACTGCCTCATCTTTCTCCCTTGGAGCCACTGGTGGGTTTGAAATGCCGACCTTACAGGCCCAACCCATAGCACCATTGGGGCCCTAGAATGAAAAAGATGAAAATTCGAAAGCTAGAGCTGGGGGTGGGGTGGGGTGAGCTGACCCTGGCAGTGAACCCTGATACCGCTGCTGGCCCACGGTGGGATCTCAGGCACTTGTGGGGCTGTTCTGGGCATACTGGGATGTGGTGTGTGGACACGTACTCACCGATGAGCCTAGAAGTCACCATGCCATTGGCAACAATGAAGCTGGCAGCCCACAGGGAAGCCCACAGGCTCCATTCTTCCAGAAGCAGCCTTGGTTCTGGGCTCCTTTCCTCTCTCCTTTCTTGCCCAGCAGCTCCTTGAACCCACTCCCAAACTTGACGGAGAAGTGAGTAGGGCGAGGGTCTAGAACATCCCGGAGCACCCCGCACCAGCTGCTCCCCCAGCTGGACCCATCCCTGCACAGGCGTCCAGATATGGAAGCGGATGTTGGCTTTCCCACTCTCCTTTGGCTCAGGAGGTGGTCTGAGGCTGCTATGGCAGTGCATGTGCTGTGCCATCACCCCTCACTGGAGAAGTGGGGTTCACCTCCCACCCCTGCCTGGCTGCACGTAGACACCCCCAAAACTGGAGAATAAATGAGAGAAGGTGCAGGAAGGTGACCTGTGCCCGGAAAGGAAACATTTTATTGTGTGTGTGTGTGTGTGTGAGCACTTGCTCAGCCCCTTGGTTAAGAGCACAGATTTTGGAGCCAAAACTAAATTTGAATCTCAGATTTGCCAAAATCATAGCAAGTCTAGCCAGGCCATTTGTCTCAGAAAGCGTCCTGCCATTTAAAAGCATCTATTACATTTTCTTTAACATCAGAGACGGGAGAGTGAGTCACAGCAGTGCCTCAGCAAGGGGTGTCCCTAGCTAGAACCAGTGCCTCCAAAGGGAAGGGAAAGAGGTGAGTAGGAACTGCCAGCCCTAGTCCATGCAGCCTCCAGTTCTTCCTGCCCTGCACGGCTGCAGCCATGCTCTCCAAGTTGGCCGGGCTGTGCTGCTTCAACCTTTCCTTGGTCCGTGCGATAAGTGACATTTCCCGAAATGTCTGCATTATGGGACCCTGCCCCATAAATATACTACCTATGAGTTAGCTATGATAGGAGGGGGCTTTAGAAAATTTGTGGGGAAATAGAAGTAAACATTTAAAAGATGATTTCTCAACAGAACTCCATCAAGATCAAGAAACTTGTGTAAGCAATGGCACCAACGACTCTAAAGAGTCCATCTCTAAGGAACCGAGGGTCTTGGGAATTTAACCATGTCAGTGAAGTCCTTTTTACATTATTAACAACAACAAAAATGAGTGGCATTTATGGATTATTTTAAAATTAGAAGACAAAAAGAAATCCCAAGGCACCAAATCAGGTCATGTAGTAGAGGCCTAATGATTTCTCATCGAAACCCTTATCACATTGCCTTCGATTGATGAGGGGAAGGAGCAAGAACATTGTCCCAGTGGAGGAAGACTCTGGTGACGCTTTGCCAGGTGTTTTTCTGCTAAAGCTTTGGCTAAATTTCTCAAAACACTCATAATAAGTAGATATGATCATCCCTTGGCCTTCCAAAAAATCAGCAAGGAAAATGCCTTGAACCTTCCAAAAAGCGATTGCCATGACCCTTCTCTTGACCAGTCCACTTTTACCTGCCTGGACCACTTGCAGCTCATAGGGGCCATTGCTTTGACCAGGCTGTGTTCAGGATTGAACTGATAGAGCCATCTCTCGTCTCCTCTTACAGTTCTTCAAAGAAAATGCTTCAGGATCTTGATCCTACTTGTTCAGTTTTTCCATTGAAAGTGCTCCTCTTGTCTGCAGTTGAACAGGGTGCAAGTGTCTTGGTACCCCTTGAGCAGAAAGTTTGCTCAACTTTAATTTTTTAGTCAGAATTGTGGAAGCTGGATCAGTTGGGATGTCAATGGTGCTGGCTACTGTTTCAACTGTTAATTATTAGTCCTTTTCACTTAGGGCACAAATAAGATTGTTTCCTCACAAATTAATGGGAATGGTCTGCCACTACAAGCTTCATCTTCAACATTGTCTCATTCCTTGAAACAAGTGATCCATTTCTAAGCCCTGATGATATAGTGGGCTATGCGCTGGGCTGGTAGCCACATGATCAGCAATCCGAAACCATCTGGGGGGGTGGGGGGGAGGCTTTCTGTACTCTCATAAAGATTTATAGTCTTGGAAGTCCACGGGTATAGTTCTACTCCATCCTATAGAGACGCTACCTGGCAGTAGGTTTGCATTTGAATTGCTCTGGAGCATGGTCCCCATAAACTTTTTGTAAAGCATCAGTGATAGAGCCATTCTTCCACCCAAACGCCCCCATGAATTTGATGCTTACTCTTCCTTCAAATTTAGCAGAACTCAAGTTGTTCTGATGGGGCATCTGTTCAAACTGATGCCTTATTCTTCTTAGTGCCGCAGACTAGATCCTGTGCAGGCATGTTGTGTAACAAGCTAGCATGAGTTTATTCTTTTTTTTTTTTAATCATTTACTGAGGACTCATACAACTCTTATCACAATCCATACATACATCAATGGTATAAAGCACATTTGTACATTCGTTACCCTCATCATTCTCAAAACATTTGCACTCCATGTAAGCCCCTGGCATCAGATCCTCATTTTCCCACTCCCCCCTCCCTCATGAACCCTTGATAATTTTTAAATTATTATTTTTTCATATCTTACACTGTCTGACATCTCCCTTCACCCACTTTTCTGTTGTCCATCCCCCAGGGAGGAGGTTATATGTAGATCCTTGTAATTGGTTCCTGCTCTCTACCCCACCATCCCTCCACCCTCCCAGTATCGCCACTCACACCACTGACCCTGAAGGGATAATCCGTCCTGGATTCCCTGTGTTTCCAGTTCCTATCTGTACCAGTGTACATCCTCTGGTCTAGCCAGATTTGTAAGGTAGAATTGAGATCATAATAGGGTGGGGGAGGAAGCATTTAGGAACTAGAGGAAAGTTGTATGTTTCATCGTTGCTACACTGCCCCCTGACTGGCTCTTCTCCTATCAGTGACCCTTCTATAAAGGGGATGTCCAGTTGCCTACAGATAGGTTTTGGGTCCCCGCTCCGCACTCCCCCTCATTCACAATGACATAATTTTTTGTTCTGATGATGCCTGATACCTGATCCCTTTGACACCTCATGATCATGCAAGCTGGTGTGCTTCTTCCATGTGGGCTTTGTTGCTTCTGACCATAGTTTTTTCTTAATCACATATTTTCTATGAACTTTCTGAAAAGTGTAATGAATACAGTGATTATGATCCTTTGAATCATCAGTTCTTAGAATAGGTAGAACTTTTTCTGTCTAATCCAGAAGAAGTAAATATCTGGAGTGAGCTTGCTGCTGGGTTTTGTCCCGTGCCAGTGGCAGGCATTGCTAATCAATTGCAGTTCTCTTTCCCACTGGGGCTAGCCCTAACCTCAGAATGTCACTGTAGCTTCATTCCCAAGGCAGCTGCGTCAGTCAAGTGGAAGGTGCTTGCAAAATGAAACCCTTTTGCTTTTGCTGGCTTGGTTCGCCCTCTTATTTGAAAGATGTGAAACTAGATCCCGGGAAGGCTGGTGTCTCTCTAGGGGATGCAGGCAGATGATACCAGACTTGGCTCCCAACCCCTGCCCACTGCTCTTTGCACTGCCTCACCTGCCTCTCTGGCAAGGACCGCCTCACCAGCTCTTCTCTGGCTCCGGGCTGCCTGGCCCCCTGCACCTTGATGTTAGAATAGGCCTCTTTTGTTCTTCCCTCTAGACTTGGTGTTGTACTGTGAAGCCTTCTTGACGACCTACCGGACCTTCATCACCCCAGAGGAGCTCATCAAGAAGCTGCAGTACAGATATCCTTCCGGCGCTCTGCCGCAGACCTCCTGCCAGGAGGCCAGCAGGTCATCTGGGTGGCAGTGTGATGTGGGGCCTTGGAGCCCAGCCGAGCAGGGTGTGCACTCCTCTCCGAGCCCCACTTGCCTCCCGTGTGAAAGGGTTGTATGAGATTATGTCAAGTTCCTGCAGCGTAAGCCACGTGCCGCCTCGTGGGACTGGTTATCCCAGGGTGACTCCACGTCTTGGTGAAGCAGGGGGTGTGCAGACCACTTTGGAGATCAGCGGCACGTGCTCATCTCTATAGGTGGGCAGTCCTCAGAGCTGCCACTTGCCCGGGGTGTTGGGGTGATGGCAGCAAAGTGTGTGAGATTCTAGGTAATCACAGTCCAGACGGACAGACTCGAGATCAGCCACCGCCACAGCCACCTGCCAGATACCCGCAGAGCCAGCAGTGGGCAGTCACACGGCCCCAGCTACTGCCCCTACCACCTCCGCCACCTCCACCAGAACTGCCCCGCAGGGCCACGTGTTGATAAAATACAAAACTTCCTGCTAGAGCGCCCAGGGAGCTCCGGTGAGCTTGGGGGGACTCCTGTAGGTTCTTCCTTGGATTCAAGGTTCCGTTTAGAGCTATTGCTTGACTGCTGTGCAGGTCCCCTTCCCCACCCCTCCCCCCATCACAGTCCACCACTGCCATCTGCTGGGCAGATTCTGTCACTGTGGGTTCTCTCCAGTTTTGCTATTACACCTCATTTCTCTTTCGGCCTTTGCCCTGCCCACTAGATTTCCTGTCTTTTGGGGCTGACGTGGAAAGTTTTCCTTTCCAGAGACTTAGATTTCCTCCAGCTTCGGGTATTCTATCACCCACAGGACCTACTCACACACCAGGCTCAGGAATGAAAATATCCTGGCACAGTCCTAAGTACTGGCACATAGTCCCACACAGCCTCCACCCTGGTCTCAGTTCCACGATGATTGCCAACTGTGGGTCGGAGGAGACTCCAGCTCATGGAGGCCAAGTTGACCTCGGAGGCTGCTGGGTGGCTAGCACGTGCACACACGCTCACACGCTCACACGCTCTTAGCCTCTGCCCTGCCCCCGTGCATCAGGTCATGTTAGTGGACATGTAGCCACTAACTCCTGGGGATGCTGGCCAGTAAGTGCTGAATACTGTGACACAGGAAGTCACAGGTCACTGGAGAGCAGGCAGGATGTAATGCAGGGTGGGCCCCAGGGGAGAGCTAAGTTCCTGAGGTGGTGAAGGGCCACTGGAGGAGGCAAGCACAGGTGTGCTCTGGGGCAGCATTAGCAGGTACCCGGAGTGCCATCTTCTGGGAGAGCGACCACAAGTGGCCACAGGACCAGGGAGCCTCCTACAGAAGCTGCCAGTAGCTACATAGCTGTGCACAGAGCAGTCATAGAGCATCAACCCAGGCGAGTGTGGAGGCCGACACTTGGCTTACACGTGTATCTCTGAGGGTGTTATGTTTTGATCGCTTTTACCTGAAGGAGCTCTAGTGGCACTGAGGGTGAGAGCTGGGTGGCAAACTCAAAGGTCAATGGTTCAAGCCCACCAGCCACTCTGCAGGGAAGGAGGAAGCCGTCTACTCCTATAGAGAATTACAGCCTCAGAACCCTAGGGAGCCGTTCTCCCCTGTCCCGGGGGGCTGCTGTGCATCAGAGTGGCCCAGGGCACTGTGGGACACGGCTTCTCCGACCCGAGGCGCACAGGAAACCGGGAGGTGCAGGGGAGAGGCGGTGGTGAGTGCAGACTCGGGTCAGGTGGTGTTGACCTCATCATCCCAATTTCCAGCCAGCCCCAGCCCTACCCAATGATTGGGCATCCCGGGGCTCTGGGAGCAGCTAAGGAAGCCTGACCTGGTGGGTGGGGTGCCTGGCACTTGTAAGCCATCTGGAAACAGTAGTGCAGTCTGTCCCCTCACTCTCCTACCCACCACTGGAAGCTCGCCATTTCTTTAACCTGTGCTGCACGTATGAAAAATTTTCTCCCTTCGCCGACACCTTCAAGACGCGGGTCAGCAAGAACACGTTCTTTGTGCTAGTGCGAGTGGTGGATGAGCTGTGGTGAGTGCTTCCGCCAGTGGGATCCTGGGGGGCAGATGGGACCCTCTCACCTGGGGGTGCCAGCACTTGTCCCCCTGTGGTGGTAGGAACTCAAGCCCCACCTCCTCCAGCCTGGCCCCAGATTTCCTTGGGAGCTGCACCCTGGCCGGGGCTAGCACTGCCCAGGGCAGCCCTCTCTCTGATGAGGGATAAGCTCCACGGTGGGCCCTGCTCGTCGCCACTCGAAGTATTGTCTGGAGGCAGCAGCTATGTCCTCCTCAGCACTCCTCTGGCAGGACACTTGGCAGTACCTGTCTCTTAACAGACCCAAGGGGCTTCAGAAAGTTCATGGGAGCATGCCATGATCTTTCATTCCATTTTTCCACGAACTGTTGGGAGCCCCCTCATGTATACTGAGCTGGTCCCTTGCCTCGGTTTGGAGGGTCCACAGTGAACAAAAGAGCCCTGTCTTCACAGAGCCTATGTCTGTAGGTGACGGTGGCACACGAGGAGTGCTAGGCAAAACCTTCCATGGTCTCCCCTCCTGCTCTCCGCCCAAGTGAGGTCGCCAGTGGAATTTGGCATTTGACCTGTTAGATCCCAGGGCTGGCGGTACTCCTCCTGAGCCCCGAGGGCCCATCTCACCTGTGGCCCTTTGGCCCTCAGCCTGGTGGAGCTGACCGAGGAGATCTTGAAGCTGCTGATGGAGCTGGTCTTCCGCTTGGTGTGCAATGGAGAGCTCAGCCTGGCCCGCGTGCTGCGCAAGAACATCCTGGACAAAGTGGACCAGAAGAAGTTACTCAGGTGTGCCAACTCCGACCAGCCCCTGGCTGCCCGCGGAGTAGCAGCCAGGTGAGCAGCGGTGACCTGGCCAACAGTCGGACCCCACTCCTGCCATCTCTGGCAAGAAGGGTTCTCCCGGTAGCAGCCCCTGTATCCCTCCTGCCTTCCCAGCTCCTGGACCTCACCTCCTGCCCCCCCCCCCCCCCCCCCCCCCCCCCCCCCCCGTAATGAGATGCCTCTGGCACAATCCCACAGGTTCCCCTCACCCCAGATCTTCTCTGGGGTGAGGGGTGTGTTTTGTATAATTAATGACCTTACCAAGTGGCAGGGCAGGGGAGGGGTTAAATAGGACAGGAAATCAATCACAAGTTCCCAGCTGGTGGGACACTAACAAATAGGGTGATCGTTCATTCTAGCCCAGCTGCCCTGTCCCAGCCAGAAGATTTCTAAGGTTCTGTGTAAAGGTTCAAGTCTGTTGCCGGCCCCTTCTGCCCACTCGCAGGGGGAGCTCTCATTCCAGGTGTAAACACTGGCTGACTGGGCAGCTCCTTGATGCAGTGAGCGGGTTAGCTCAGATACACGGGACCATCTCCATTCCCAGGGTCATCTCCCTGGCCTGGACCACTGGGGTCAGGCTGGGAGCAAGAGTCTTTAGCCTCAGGCCCCTGAGGGTCTAGAACACACATACCAGAAGGTGGACGATACTGCCCCAGGAGAAGCCTCACAGCTGGGCCTTGGGGCTAACCTGCTGTGGAAATGTCAGCGAGACCCTAACGTTGCCACTCTTCTGGAGGGAGTGAGACTTGGGGCGTATCTCCTCTCTCCTCCCCTGACCGTTGTTCTCCCACCTCTCCTAGGCCAGGGACCTTGCACGACTTTCACAGCCACGAGATAGCAGAGCAGCTGACCCTGCTGGATGCTGAGCTCTTTTATAAGATAGAGGTATGGTGTTGAGTGGGGCAGGGCACTGGGGCTTTTCCCAGAGGAAAGCCTGGTGGCTCCAGAAACACCCAGTGTCTTTCCTTCCCCAGATCCCTGAGGTTTTGCTCTGGGCAAAAGAGCAAAATGAAGAGAAGAGCCCCAACCTGACCCAGTTCACTGAGCACTTCAACAACATGTCCTACTGGTAAGCAGGGGCCGCAGCCATATTCCCTCAGAGCCGTCTGTCCCTGGAGCCCAGTCCGAGCCCCTGTGGACAGACCGCTGGGTGTCTCAGCAGGGAAGGGAAGTGTCAGGATGGATTAGCAACATCTTCCATAGACAGCAGGGGCCTGTGTGCCCGTCTGCACTGTCTGTAGCCAGTCCCACTGTCAGGGCTGAATCTCACACTAAATCTGCTTGCAAGAGAAGAGCAGTTAGCACAGACATGGCCTTTACTAAGACTCTTATTTAGCCTTTGGTACCTGAAAGTCAAAAAAGTATGCCAGCCACCTGGCATTAAATAACCTGCTTGAAGTCTCAAGGTGCCACACAGAACCCACCCTACACATGACCCACTGTCTTGACCCCAGGAGAGAGACCGGACATTTTTAGAATGTTCCAAGGCTGCTCACTGCTGTGCCGTTTGTGGGTGGGGGGAGGGGGGGGGGGGGGGTCCAGCCCCCCACTCCTCCCAGGAAACTCCCACTCAGCTGTTGCCACCCATTATAGAGCTCAGGAAAGGCTGGGGCTGACGGAAACCACCCACAGCCCCTGAGCCTGGTCTCTGACCGCAGCCCCATGCTGAAAGGGGAAGCTCTGGTTGCATGCGGGGTGGGTGGGGTGGGGTGGGGGGTGGAGTCTTTGCAGAACCACAGGTGCCTTTTTTAAAAAAAACAAAACTTGTTTTTTCTGCCCCTGCATTTTCCCTGGGTTCTAAGCTGGGGGTTAACAAGTGATAGGCGGTGGCCCACACGTGGCCAGAGCCCTGGGTTTGAAAGATGAAGGCAGGGGCCCTTCTACAGGACTGCTGGGGCAAAGCGGAGGGCGGCCCTTCCCTTCCGTGACATCAGGCCACCGAGGCCACCGTGTTGCCTCTGCTTTACACTTCCCTGGCACCCAGGGAGCTGCTCTGGAGGACCTGGCCGCTGTTTCCTTACCCCATGTGCCAGCTTAACTCCGCCGGGCCAGTCTGGGGGCCTGGTGAGTGGCTTTCTCTGGCCCCAGAGATGTCTGGGGTCACCATTTGTCAGGAAAGTCTCTGCTCCGCTCCTCCACAGCCTCCCACTGCCCACAGAATTGAGGTGCCACCATTCATGTTGTGTATCAGTGGCCCGAGACTTCCTGGTGGCCTCTGGCCTCTCACTCTGGGGTGCTGCGGGCTCTGGAGCGGGGACCGGTCTACACGGTGTTGGTGTGCAGGCCGGCGCAGGGCCAGCCCTGAGGGTCTCTCGCCAGCTCAGTGTGCCGCGTCTGCTTGCGCCCATTGCAGGGTTCGGTCGATCATCATGCTGCAGGAGAAGGCCCAGGACAGGGAACGACTGCTTCTGAAGTTCATCAAGATCATGAAGGTAACTGCTCCCAGCCCTCGCCAGCCCTGGGGCCGCCTCATGCTGCCTCACACCACCTCGCCTCTCTCCACAGCACTTACGGAAGCTCAACAACTTCAACTCCTACCTGGCCATCCTCTCTGCACTGGACTCGGCGCCCATCCGCAGGCTGGAGTGGCAGAAACAGACCTCCGAGGTGAGCCCGCCTGGCACCCGGGCAAGCTAGCTGCAGCGAACTGCTGGGGCAGGGTGGGCATCCCTGCGCTGCCACCAAAACACTGAGTGGCCCTTGCTGCACTTTCCTCTGCTCATTTCTGATGGTCGGCCTCAGAGGGGTGTCAGGCTGTGATGTCACCACTGTCCTGTGCCATAGTGGGGTCCCAGCTTCTTTCCCTGCACGCCCCATCAGTGCTTCTGAGGGGCTGGCTGTGGGCCATATCCATTTAGGGAATGGACCAGACCTTCCATGAGTGACCCAGGCCGAAAGCCAGGATGGGGTGCTGAGAGCAGGTGCTGAGGTTGTCTGACCCTGCCGGGGTGTGGGGAGAGGGTTGTCTCTCTGTAGAAGCCCCTCATACCGAAACCTGAAGGATACCACGTTTCCTGGGAAGGGAAGGGAATTCTCATCAAGGACGACAGAGTGTGGGGCCTTCCTCCTCGGGGGAAGATGCTCCTTGGGGAGACAGGCCAGGTTGCTGGGCCCTGGGGTCCTCTCACGAAGCTGCACAGGGACCTATTGGCAGGCCCCCTGGAGGACATGGCCATCAGTGGGAGCAGAGCGGGGCAGCACAGGCGGCTCCACATGCAGGCAGTGAGGTGTCTGTCAGCACTGCCAGGGCAACCCTGCCGGCCCTGGGCTTGGCTGAGCTCTGAGGACAGTGAGCAGCAAAGCAGAGGCTTTGAGCCCGGCTGCAGCAGCATGGCGGGAGCAGCGTGGCTTCCTCACCAAGCCCCTTCTCCCTCCAGCGGCCGCATGCTCAGGGCAGAATCTGACCCAGAACAAGGAACCCTTAGGGGCTTCTGCCGAAAAGGGCCTGGAGGCCCCTGTGACCAGGGTGTGGCTATCTCATGGGAAAGGAGCCAAATCTGGCAGCCCAGGGGCCAGTGTGTGCACTCTAGTGAGTGGGGCAGAAGGTGGGGCAGTTCGTTGGTCAGTCAGAGCAGGGCACTGGGCATTGTCTCAACACTCATGGAACTGTCCTGCCCTGCCCAGGGCCTGGCCGAGTACTGCACATTGATTGACAGCTCTTCCTCCTTCCGGGCCTACCGGGCTGCCCTCTCCGAGGTGGAGCCCCCCTGCATCCCATACCTGTGAGTAGCACTTCCCGGCCCTGCATCCCCACCCCCACCCCCGCCCCGGCCTGGATCTCCCTCTCAGTTGCTCAGAGAAACCCTCCCTTCTGGGGTTCCAGCTAAGACACTTGTACTTCTCTTTCCCCTTGTTCACTCTCAGGCTACGTGCTCCAAGGGGTGGCATTGAAGCCGACAGTCCTGTCCACCTGCTCATTTCCTTTGAGGGTTAGGCAGCCCGAAACGTGTGGCGGACCTCTTCTTCCCCACAAGTGGCAGGCATCCTGCTGGGTCCAGTGCTCCTCCAAGCTGGCAGTTCCCCCAGGAACCCCGAGAACACTTGATGGGAAGGAGGTCAAAGGCCATTTCCCACAGCCTGGGCCCTGGAGTGGAGTAAACCCCGGGTGTCTTGCGGGAGGAGCCCATGGACTCCTGAACACCTCGGGATCTAAGCTGGTGCCAGCCTCCCAGCTCTTACCAGGGCTGGTAAGAATGTGGACAATAGGACTGTGGACATTAAGACTCTCCAGGGCTGAGTGCTTGGTGCAGTGCAGAGCAGGGTGGGGCAACCTGGAGGGCTTGGCTCTTGGGAGACGCGGATCTCTCTGCTGCCTTTGCCCCCTCCTGTTTCCTAGTTTGCTGCCCACACTGAACTTGCATGGATTTTCCCTTCACAGAATCCACAGCTACCCCCAGAACCCCACCCCCACCCCTGAGAGTGTCACCCTCAGGCCCAGTGCTCAGTGGGGAGAGCTCATTTGGCCTCAGGTTTTTGTTTGTTTTGAACCCATTTGGCCTCGTAGCTCATTTGCATTTTAAAACAACTTACCCTGCCTGTGTATGAAGAGCCCCCTCACCACCACCACCACCACCACCGAGGTTTTGTTGTAGATATATTGATTCTACCACGGTAGCTCACAGCTGTGCATGCGCACACTGCAGCCACAGGCTGCTGGCAGCCAGATGCACAGCTCAGACAGTTGTGAGGGGGCTCTTCTGCAGCAGGCAGACCCTTTGCAGCGCCTCCTGGCCTCCCCAGAATGCAGCCGTCCTAGATCCTGAGTGGGTGGTTCACACTGGGAGACGGTGTGGCTGCATTCCAAACTTGGCTGCCCTTTTGGTGTGGACAGCTGCTCAGGCCGGGCCCAGAGGCCCAGACCCCAGGTTCCTTTGGGCTTTCCTGGTGGCCCTGCCAGCTCTCCTCTGAGTGGTAACTGGGCTTCTTGGTCCTTCCAGGGGGCTGATCCTGCAGGACCTCACCTTCGTTCACCTGGGAAACCCAGACTATATTGACGGGAAGGTGAATTTCTCCAAACGGTGGCAGCAGTTCAACATCCTTGACAGCATGCGGTGCTTCCAGCAGGCGTGAGTGACACTGCCCTTGGGGGTCTGCAACGGGGTAAAAGAGCCAAAGGGGCTTCTTGAGGAATCAACTTAACTGGCCTTCAGGCTAGGAACCCTGGTGGCGAAGTGGTTATGATTGGGCTGCTAACCACAAGGTCAGCAGTTTGAAACCAGTGGTCCCTCCAAGGGAGAGAGATGGGTATTTTACTCCCAGCAAGAGTGACAGTCTCAGAAACCCACAGGGGCAGTTCTACTCTGTCTTACCGGGTCATTTTTGAGTCAGCATCAACTCGATGGCAGTGAGTTTTAGGTAGAGTTGGCCTCACAGATCCTCGCAGTGGGAGGCTAGACCACCCCTGCCTACTTCACTCCAGGCTCACCCAGGGGGGCTGCTAGACCACAGTAGACTGAGAAGGTACAGTCTGGGGTGAAAGGGTGCACCCAGAGAGGGACCAGGCCCAGGCTTCTCCAGATGGCTCAATACGCTACGCTGCCCAGGGGAGCCTGTGGGGGGCACTTGAGAGCACTGGCATTGGCGTACGGCCCATGTTCTGGGTGCTGGGGGCATCTCCTCCGAGTGCCAGGTTCTCCCTTTGTAAGATGTGGCCATTTTGGCTCGGGCCTCATGGGTGTGCTGCAAGGGTGTGTTTGTGCTCAGCCCACCCAGCTCAGAGGTGGTGTCGGGATGAGCTGCCCCCAGTGCAACTGGCAGAGGCTCTCTCTCTCTCTCTCTCTCTCTCCAAGTGTCTCTC